TATTTAACATTCCTAGCATAATGCCAGACATACAATAAAAATAAACCACACACACACAGACACATACACACACACACAGCACTACTATTGTGCCCTTTAAGAAAGTCTGAAATAGAGTGATTATTAAATAGAATCTGCTCAAAGATTATGCTCAGAGTAAGCACATATTCTCCCAATTGATCATAGTGTTATAAATCAGAAAAAAAGTCCCAAAATTTATCAACTCCTTTCTTCCACATTACTATTCTAGCACAAGGAAACCACATGAGGAATGGAATTCTGTATTAAATTAGTGGGTTTGTCAACATTGCACAGTGTTGCCCTCTTCTATTTTAGCCATCTGTCTTCAATGACTCTTTTACCTGCCAGAGTGCGTGAGTGATTGGGCCGTTGCTCAGGTAACTGAGACAGCCTGTGTTAAATTTAGTTAAATTCCTTGCTATATGCTCCCATCATATCCTTATACTTCCTCCTTCATACTTGAAATTATTTGTCATACTTGAAATTATTTATTTAATTTTTGCTTTCCATATTAAATTGTAAGCTCAGTACCAGCAGGCATCATGACTTTCTGGGTTGTAACCATATCCCTGGCATCTAAGCTACTGCCTGATACCCAGTAGGAGCTCCATCAATATTTGTCATGCTGAGAGATTGTGTACACTTTGCTGTTTGTGGCAAAGCGTAACTTCCATTATATCCACATCACGGATATACTACACCCAAGTGTCTAGAATAATTCCAAATCCAGAAATTAAGAAGAAACCTTTTAAGCAGCTAAGAAAGAAGCTTACAGTGCAGGTTTTGATTTAAAAAATATATATATATGAAAGAAGTTGATAACTTGTACTTTAGAGAGACCCATGCAAAACAGAAAATAATTTGTTTGGCAGTTAGAGAAGCCAAGAGGAAAAAAAGAGCAGAAGGCTGATAAAATGAGAAACAGCAAATACAGAGTGTCTGGTAGTGGAAAACAAAGTCAGTAACAGGAAGAAGAATCAACTATATAGTCTGCCAGGGAAGAGTAGGTATCAGTTCTATAAGTCTCAAGGGATGTTGGAGGATGGGACAGCCAAATAGTTCAATATGGGTATTGCTAACACTAGACAATACTACAGAAACAGCTGAAGCCACCCAGTGCCTTACACTATCAGTGTCTCCTCACAGAGTATGCGTTTGATTTTAAGATGAGGGCCAGTATTTGCTGTATTTTCATCATTTTTTTTAAAGATTCTCAAGCTATACTGGTTAGTACTTCCTATTTATCTTCTAAATAGAAAACTTTTTTATACAGAGCAATTTTGACCTGTGATTACAGGAAATCACATTTTTATCATCTGTTTCTCTTTATGTTTTGTGGAACTTCAACTTGCCATTTATTTGCAAATTTGCCTGCAAGTTCTTGTCTCCTGGTATGCTCATTAAAAATATTCCTTGTCTATTTTATAGTCTGCCAAAGTAGAAATGGTTTCTGTAATTCCTTTTGACTTAAATTTAGAAAATAAATAAATGAAACTCGTATTTTCTTCCTGCCAGCTAACTATACCTTCAGGTACAGTTTTATTTGTTTGATACATGAAAACAAATTGTGATCCTTACTAATACAACATTTTTTAAAGAAAAGCATGGTGTCCTAGTTGAAAACCATGATAACATTCAGAATACTCTTTTGAAACATGAAAACTAATTTTTGTTCAGAACAACAAAAACGATAACCACAGGAAGCAAACTATTATGGGTTTTAATGGTATAAATTGAAGAGAAATGTTTCTTTTTGCCAATACTACCCTCTAGTGGAATAATAGGCGATAGAAATGGGTATGGCTTTGGGGAGTTGAGCTTATCTTTACAACATAATAGAACATTTGCACAAGCAGATTTATGTACATTTTTCTTCAGATGTCCCTGAAGCAGATATATAATAAACTATTGATTATGCTTGTTGGCATTGCATTTTAATAAATTTTCTCACTCGAAATAGTGCATTGTGGAAGAACTATGTGCAACTGGCTGCATATCTTAGCCACATAAAAGATTATAATCCCCAAATATGTACAACATGACTTCAAAAGAAATACTGTTACAATAATTAGATTGATTTATTCTTCATCCTGTCAATGACAGGCAAAATAAAGGGAGAGGAGTACCAATCTTTTAATGGTCTTCAGTTACTTACAACCTTAAGTTTGCATCTAATCAGTTTGTGAGGCCAGATTATAAAAGCATCCACGGTGCATTCAGTTAGAAGGTGATTCTATTGAATACTTCCCTAGCAAGGAAGTACTGTATTCAACATTGTAAACAGCTCTACTGACGTATTTGGAAAAGCATATATATATATATGTATTTTTTTTCCTTTAGAATTAAATTTTTCAAAAAGTACATTGTAACATTAAAGTTTTAAATTTCTCCTGAGAGGGAAGAAAATTCATAGGAACATATTGAGAGTGTTGAGCTTTGGTAACTCATGCAATGAAAAATCGCAATATTGGACTCCTTTTTTAAACTTCAGAAGTTACAATTTAAGGGTGCAAGAGGATTTTCAACTCTTTACTTACAAGATCCACTCATAAAATTAATTGCACCCTTGTAGAAAAACAGGAGAAAGTTTGCATGCAAATATTTAATATATTTACTCTCTGCCTGGAACCTCAAGATCAATATCTTACACAGCCCTCATGGTTACAGAGAACCAGTGCTTCCTAGATTCATTCACTTGTTCAGATTCTAAAGTCAATAATTTAGAAAGGCAGTCTTCTTTTTCGTAGAAGAGGTTGTAAGCACTGCATGTCAAAACAGAGAAAATGATGTTTTATATTTTAGTTTCGCTTACTGTTTGAGACCTCATTTCTTATTAGAGTGTGCAGGTTTATTCACATTCAGTACTCAGAAGTCTACTTTATTGTGAACATAAAGAAAGCTGTGTTTGATTATAAGAGATAATCATCCTGACCTCTTTGCAAAAAAAAGTTTACTATCAGTTAATTTGTGTTTTCGATGTATGCTGTATGGGAAAATTGTTGCATCTGAACAAACACCAGACTATTGAGAATATTTTTTTCTTTTGTTTTTGATAATAAGTGAGAAAAAGGTGCCTTAGAGGGGAAGAATAGATAATTTAGAAATTTAGTTTTGTACCCAAAAATGTTTGACATGAAGTACCCAAAACACTGCAATGTCTAATGATTATTTAAGAAAAAAGATCAGCCATATTAATCAGCATTACTTACTGAGAAAAAAATGATATACAATTCTCTATAAAAGATAAAATGGTTCAGAAAAAAATCATCTTGTTCTCAGGGAATTTTATTTATTATTTCGGCTCTTCCAAATAAGTAGATTAATTTAGTCAAAATCATTAACCTATCTGTGGATCAATGTCTTTACTAGTCAAATGGCAGTTAAGTGACACGAAGGCAGGGACATCTTTTTCTTGAATCACCACAGTATCCCCAATGCCTACCCTTGACACATAAAAATGGGAGGGACTTGATGAATATTTATTTAATGAGTGACACTACATGAGTAACAATGCACATTTATCTCCAAATTGTTCAAATAAAATAAGATGCATATAAATTGCTTTGAAAAAATCCTTAAGTAAATTCACATTGTTTTCTGTCTATAAGTACATCTAATCTTAAATGCCATGTTGTAGTGTGCTGCAGGGAAAACCTTCTTTCATCATGCCACATTTGTAAAAATGTAAATTAGCATCACAGAATATTTCAGTTTGCCTTTAAAATGTTCTAATTATGCCAAGTATATAAAGTAATTAGTAGTTGCTACAGAAACATATAAAATGCTTTTTAAAAAAGCAACTACAAAATATTTTTTTTAAAAAACTGTCTTTAACTGCTGCCTCATAGAATTGCACTCTTTCAGAAATTTGTTCCTACTTGTTTTTTTTTTTTTTTATGTCTTTTGTCTTTTGTCTTTTTCCGTGTCCGGCAACGGATCGCAACCCTCAGTGTTGCCC